TTGTCACAAAATGACCTATGCTTATATGACTACATTCCTTTACCCTCCAAAATGCTTGGCCATGTCTAGTTTGCCTGATGGCTCTGCTCTTTGTTATGTAGTAACTCCTGTGCTCATGAATTGTCTGGAAAAGTGCTTGTGGGCCCAGGCCAAAACCATGCCAAAAACCTTTTGCAAAAGTTCAACACAATTTCAGCAATTTCAGTTGCATAAAGCACCTTCTGCAAACAGCCAAGGATGCTGCCCATCCAAAAAAGCTCTTTACTCAGGGGACTCAAGCTCCGCAGTTAAACCTCAGCTTGTTATCTGTGTGCACCTTTGGTCACCACAATGGCTGTGCCTTGGGATGGATTCTAAGAAGAGTCCAGGCAGACTATGGGCACAGTACCAAGTGGGAATAAAGCACCTTTCTGAAATCTAATTCTCAAACACAAAAAAGGGAAATGTAATGAAAACTTGACTGAAGGAAGACTAGACTTTAGCTAGACCCCTAAATCCCATTTTTCCACATCTGATCTCTAGACCTTACAATGCCAAGTAGAGCCAAGTACAAACACTTTCACTTATAAAGGAGCTATATTCTCTTTGAAAATCATCCTCTGCAGGTTCCAGCCAAGGGATTCTGTCTTTCAGCTTTTTGATGAAGAAGCAGTCTCATTGAAATTCTAAATACCCTGAGACCAATATTAAATATTGTGTCATGTTGGAATGTTACTTACCCTCCTCAGTATTTTCTGAATGAAAGACTCCTTAGAATAGGGAAAAGTAAAAGGCTGTAGGATCACTTGCAGACATCTTATTAACTGAGACTGTGTATTGTCATTTCTAACATGGCTTTGCTGACGTCTCCAAAACAACTCAGCTTTTGAAGCTTGCAAGAGCTTGCAAAGACCATTCAAGGATCAGGGAGCACAACTGAGAGAACTGAGGTGTAAGAGTCTGTAGCTGGTTTTAATGCTACTACCAGCATGCAGAGTTCAATCATACATATACATGCTGTATGTTTCACCAAAGTTGTGTTTAAGTTGCTTTTCTTCTTGAAAGACAACAACAGACTCATCCTTCCCACAGGTGAATGCATTTGAGATATGTTCATAGGTAAAGCAGACACAGCAGCGGAGGCTTAATTAAACATTTGCCTAACCACGTAAACAGACAGTGATATATCTTCATAGCATCTGGCAGTTTAACCATTCACTAGTCATCCTATAATTAGCATGCTGATGAATTTAATAGAATACTGTTTTAATGTAGTGCCAGATGGCCCTTCTGACTGACAAGGAGAATGACAATCTCTGTCATGTTTACTTCAAGGGTAACAGAACAGCCAAAAAGTTCCTTCTTAGAGCACAACATTGATGAAGTAAGAGGGTACATTTACTTTCCTCAGAAATCAATGGTTTTGAATGTACAACACGGAGTAAGCATAGTTCATGAACTTCCCATGAAAAGTTTCCTTGCTTACTTTTCCTATTTGGTAAAGACATTAGCTTGCTTGTTATGTTTGCAGAAGAACATTATATAAGACAAATAAGGACCAATCCCAAGGTCCTATGAAACAGGAGGAGGTGGAGGACATTAAGAGTAGCGCTGAGAGAGGTCTGCTCTGCAGCAAGGCCTGTGAGATGACCCCTGATCACCTCAATGGAGCTTAAAATTGGCCCAAACACTACACAAGTGATTTTGCTACAGGTCCATTCATTAGAGAAATTAACTTTTACAAAGCAACTAGTGAAATGGCAAGGACACTAACTAAAATGAGGAGTATCCATGGAAGAGAAAACTAAAAGACAGAGATATTTGCTGTTGGTAAGTGAAGACAATTATTGTGTAACCATGCAGAGAATTTCTATAAACTTCAGTATCATTCTAGAGTTTATAGACTATAATGGAATTAGTAGTCAGACTATAGCAATCTTATTATCAAAGAATGTCTTGCAACTAAGAACCTCTGGGAGAAGATAACCATGCGTGACAGATCAATCTCAGTGGCTCTTTCATTTTGAAGCTAGATGCAATCTGCTAGGCCAAAGTCTCTTTCATGACAACTATCGATCATGTTCCAGTTGAGCTCCAACTAACATTTTGAATATTAAAACTTGCTGACTTATTTTCATTCAGTGTATCTCTATACAATCCCTTTCTCTTAAATAATAAACCAACTGTCAAAATGTCAGTGTAGGGACTCTGTATAGACTGTTACCTTATCAGCATGAACAACACACTCCACACTAATACCCCAAATTCCCTGCTACAGAGAGCAACTGGTTTTGACATGAGTCTCTTCCAAAATGTACCCAGACAGATGGAGATCTCAAACTACTTTTATGGGCTCCTGCAGTGATTCTGACTTAAAGACTATAGCACAGTAAGGTTTAGTGACCCATGTAACAGTGACTCTGTGAAGGCCGAAGTCCGCGCTGTGCTGCACGAGTACAGCATCACCTTCAGGCCTGTGCTGTGCTGCACCTCTCCCTCAGCACAACGCAAATTCAGTCGGGGGATGATAACAGAGGAGCCTACAGGCAGCTCCCACTCCATACCAGTGATTACACATTTGCATGGCCTTGCCTTTATCTCACAGTGCAACAATAAGTTATTATGCAAACATTCTGTTTGACAGTAGAAATGATGAATGGAGTTTTTTTCTTGTAAGAAAATCCTTTAAGAACTTGAATGACCAGAACAGACTAATCCTTCCTTCCAATGGGATCTGCACGGCATGCTGCACTGATGGGAGGCCACTTTGGTGCTGCCCAACATGGAGTACCCAGCATCTAAATGAACATAAGATTAACTATACTATTCACCTTCTTTATACGCTTTATATGTTACCTTCTATAAATCTTATTTTAAATGATGCTTTACAGAATCCAGATGCCTTTCTTACTGACACCATAACCTCCGTGTTCAAATCCCTTGTTGCAGCCGGCAGGTCCTAGTTAGAAATGCCTCTCTGGAGAAAAAATCCTGAGGGAAGGGGTGCCCAGGGGGTGGGTGGTTGACTGGCCCGGGTGCAGCGGCGGGCGGGCTTCAAGGCGAATCGCCCCAGTGGCTCCCGCGGTGGCCGGGTAGAGAGAGAGGGGGCTGTTTGGACGCCTCTTCCGGCTAAAGTACTGGGGTGTCCCAGCAGGGGTGGGCGGGGGAAGGGGAGGCCGGAGGACCCTTGCGCTGTGTTTGCTTATGCGCGAAATGGGGCCGTCCCGCGCAGCCGGCGGGCAGCCCGGGTAAGCACCGCGGGGGCACGGAGCGTCTGCCGCGCCTGGACGGGAGGCTGCGGGGATCCGGGGGCAGGGAGGAGGCGGAGGGGACGGAAGGGTCCAGCCGCCGGTGACGCCCGGGACGAGGAGGGGTCCGCGCCCTCCGCCGCCGGGAAGATGCTCCTGCCCGCGCCGACGCCTCTGCCCCCGGCCAGGTCGGGCCGGGGCGACCCCCGCCCACTCAGTGCAAGAAGGAGACGCGGGGAAGGGACCGGCGCTCACACGCTCCGTTTGTGATACCCTGAGTTTGGCAGGATATGCGAGGGGTTATTGCTGTTCCAGGCAGCAAGGCAGCGGTAACCAGTGCACGGAAACCAGCCCCATTAACCCAAGAACAAAAGGACGTGTTGGGGCTGGCAGGGTGGGACGGTTTTAGACAAGGATGTCATGCGGGTCAGTGTCAAATGCTTTGCGTAAGTCCAGGTAGATGATGTCAGTTGCTCTGCCCCTGTCACCAATGCTCTATCCCCGTCATAGGTCACCAAATTGGACAGCCATGATTTGCCCTTAGTAAAGCCATACTGTCTGTTACCAATGCCCTCTTTGTTTTCCATGTGCGTTAGCATAGTTTCCAGAAGAACCTGCTCCATGATCTTGCCTGGCAAGAGGTGAGACTGGTCCGTGGTTTCCTGGGTTCTCAGCTTTCCTGTTTTTAAAAATGGAAGTTATATTTCCCTTTTTCCAGTCATTGGGAACTTCTGACTGCCACAATTTTTCAAAAATGACGGATAGGGGCTTAGCAACTTGGTCTGCCAGCTTCCTCAGGACATGCAGTTGGATGTCATCAGGTCCCATAGACTTGTGCATACCTTAGATGGTCTCAAACCTGATCCACTCTTACAGTGGGCTCAGGGTCTTCATTCTCCCAGTCTCTGCCTTTACCTTTCCTGACTTCAGTTGCATGGCTAGAGCACTTGCTGTTGAAGACTGTAATGGGTTGACCCTGGCCAAATGCCAGGTACCCACTAAAGCCACTCTCTCACTCTCCCTCTGCAACTGAACAGAGGAGAGAGAAAAAAAAAGCTAAGGATTCATGAGTTAACAGCTGGGAGAGGTCACTTACTGATTACCTTCATGGACAAAACAGACTCAAAGTGGGGATAGTACTTAAATTTATTACTAACAGGATAAGAGACAAAGAGTGAGAAATAAAACAGTCTTAAAAACACCTTCCCCCCACCCCTCCTTCCTTCCATGTTCTCCCTCTCCCCCCCCAGTGGTGCAGGGGTATGGAGAATGGGGGGTTACGGTCAGTTGCTGCTTCTGCTGCTGCTCAGGGAGAAGAGTCCTTCCCCTGCACCCATGGGGTCCCTCCCACGGGAGACAGTCCCTGATGGACCTCTCTGGCATGAATCCATCCCTTGGGCAACAGTTCTTTCCAAACTGCTGTCCCATGGGTCACTTCTCCATGGGATGCAGTCCTTCACAAATAAGCTGTATCGGTGTGGGTCCCTCACAGGGGCCACAAATCCTACCTGGGAAAAACCTGCTTCAGCATGGGCTTCCATGGGCTGCAGGTCTCCAGTAGGACCCTGCTCCATCTTAGGCCTCCCACGGGGTCACAGCCTCCTTCATACATCCACCTGCTCCAGCATGGGCTTCTCCATGGGCTACTGGTGGGTCTCTGCACCCTGATGGTCCTCCACGGGCTGCAGGGCCTCAGCTCTGCCACCTGAAGCACCTCCTGCCCCTCCTTCTGCACTGACCTTGGTGTCTGCATTGTTGTTCACATGTTCTCACTCTGCTCTTCCCTAGCCACAGAAACCCACTAAAAAGACTAAGGCATAGAAGTTGTTGAGAATCTCAGCCTTCTCTCTGTCCAGAGCAGCCAGGTCTCCCGTTTCTTTCTGGAGAGGGCCCACATTATCCCTAGTCCTTCTTTTGTTTGCAATAATGCCTCAGAGCTTTTTTTGGATTTTTTAACTTTTATAGATTTTAGAAGTAGATGTGTAATGAACGTAGATTTTAATGTAGCTGTGTTATATCCCTTACCCTGTAGCATAATGTTTACACATACACAACCCTACTACCCCGTTTCATATCAACCCCTCTAAAATTCTGTTAGCATGTTTAGTCTTCTTTTCAAGGTAGAATTGTAGAAAAACACCCTAAGGCCTGGACCAGAAGATATCACACAGACACAGTGACCTTCAAGCCCAGAACTTTGTAGGAACTCCAAGGACTGTATGTGCTTTGAAGAAGATGAAGATGAGGAAGAAGGGGTCCCAAATGCCGCCAGACTCAATTCCCGAAGGGGCGTGTCAGGGGGCATAACCGGGGGTTGGACAAATAGAGATTGGATGGACCTTATTATAAAATCATAGAATCAGTGTCTGAGAGAGGGCGTGTGGTATGTATTCCTCTAGGCCTACGGACTCATTAAAGGATCTGCTCCCTTTATCTTATTTTCTACACTAAATTGGCCTGAAGTCTTTTCTCTGCAGTGCTTTAGGCAACAGTTTTGGCACTCCGAAAGGTGGAAAAGCCAGACCTGTGACTCCTCCAGATCCACCCATCTTGAGAAGCCCGGCTCCTCAGAACCACACACGGGGGTGAGATAAAAGAGCAGCTCCTTTGGGTAATTTTGCTAGCATCTGCAAAGGGGTTTTTCCCAGAAATAGGGGAATACGGTAGGCTGGGAAGTGAGAATTTGGGCCCGTGTTGTTGCAAAAGTTGGTGTTTTCCCAGTCTGTGGGCAGAAGCATGGGACAGTTAAAGGGAAGTGGGTGGAGGACACCACCCGCCCTCCCACCGCCTTGCGGCTTCAATAAAGGCAGGGCAGGGACAGTGGAATCTACCACTGTGGTTACTAAGGGGTTTTGTATTGGCTTGGTACAGCCGGAAGGAGAGGGACACCTTTCCATGTATTAAAATAGGTTGCCCTGGCCTGAGGTCAGTGGTGGTGCCTGGAGAGGGAGCTCCCAAGGTGATCCCGAGGTCGTGGGTTCAAGTCTGGCGCCGGGTACTATTTAAGCAGCTATTTTGCACCCTTGTTGACATTATTTATGTATGTTGTTTTGTGACAGCAAAATGTTTTGAGAATGTTTGAATGTAACAAATATGGGGATGTTTAAAATTCTATACTTATTATTTGAATAACATTATTGTGACAATTGCATGTATGTGGATGTATTTGAGAATTTAATAACTTCTAATAATTTTTATTTTTAAAGCTATTGGGAATTGAATGAAAAATAGGGAAAATTTTTGAAGCTGTAGTGTTCTGGTTTTGTGGAGATAAACTTAAATGTTCTTGGTTAAAATGACACTAATTTACATAGTGAAAAATAATTACAAAGGCTTTTAGGCAATAAGGAGAATTTTCCTCTCTCTTTATACTATGAAGCAGAAGGTTTCAAATCCTTTTCTTTACCTTGAGTTCAGTAATTGATTGGTAATCAGCATGCAATTTATGCTGAAACAGCCTGTATGTGAATTTATTTAGTTTAAATCTAGCTCCCTAGTAAATTGTCCATATTGCTCCAGTTTCCGTAATATGCGTACCAACTTTGTTTGCTGATTGATAAAAGGTTCATCCCGCACACTCCATCACAGTTAGAAGAACATGAAACTGCCAAACCCAATAAAAGCTTTGTATCAGCCAGCTCTACATTTAAAAAATATGAATTAATGAACATACTGGGCTTTAAGATGGTGAGATGTTAAATTTCATTCCATGTGTAAATATTTTTAATCTACCCTCTACCCTTTATTTCCATTGTCAAGAAAACAACTTACACCACTTTTGAGAAAACTGATTTGAAGGCAAAAAACTACAAATGTTACAAGCAAAACTTATATCTTCTTGACAATGCCAAATGCAGTGGTATGAGTGAATAGTTAGCAAAGTTTTAGTTCACCATGTCCTGCCTTCCTTTTCCACGTTATGTAAAAAAGGAGATTCTGAGTCAGGGGTTTGCTTGTCGTCTTCCTCACCCAAAGGTAAGTTACTTATTCGTTTAGCCAAGGAGTTAGTAGGAAAGTTTCTATAGGAACAGGAATAGCGGCAGAAAATGACAAAATCTAATTCCACCCAACTGTTAAGCAGTAAACTATTGTTATTATGTTTAAGGGGCAACGCATTATTTCCTTTTTTTGCAAAGGCAATCATGCAAGAAGTGTTTTTTACCCTTTTCTTTAACTAAAAAGTAAGTTATAAAATCTCGGTTTTCAAAAACTTCATTCTTTTCTAACTCTGAGATAGGGGCAAAAAGCATGAAAACCCATCTTTCTTTAGGTTTGAGAGATTGATAGATTAGTGAAAGGGTTTTTGTACATAGGGAGGCTGTGTTTATATGGTTTTCTAGTAGTGTATGTAAATGCATTTTAAGGAAAGGCCATTGTACCTGGCCTGGTAGTTGTCAGCATGGGTTGTATACAGTCCCAAGAGGAGGAGATCCCAAAAGGATCCCCGTTAGCCTTGGTTTTGCAGCACTGGAGGCATTTAACTGGATCTGAAACATCTTTAGAGAGGCAGGAGTTATGAAGGCTCTCTATAAATATGTGGCCTTTGCACGGGCTGCTCGGAGGGAAGACTTGGCTGAAGTTTGGCTCTTTTCAAATGAATACAGTGTTACAGCTTATGTCGATTCTTCATAAAGAGGAGCGGTGGAACGAAGTAGCGTATGCTGAATTGTTTTTGGTTTTTAAACCATCTGGGGCTGCAGGGCCATGGCAGGCTGCGGGGCCGGCTCCTCGGAGCACCTGGAGTGGCTGCATGGAGACCGGAAGGGCGTCCCCAAGCAGCTGGGGATGTGTGTGTGTGTATTCCTGGAGCCTGTAGGCTCATTAAAATTTCTCTCTTATCTCCTTACCTAATTGGGCCTGAAGTCTTTTTTTCTCCCTAGGTCTTCTAGGCAACAGTTTTGGCAGCCTGAAAGGTGGAAAAGCGGGACCTGTGGCTCTCCAGATTGGAAAATTTCATCCAGCAGGAAATTCTTCTTCGGCCGGCATATTTTGGAGAATTCCCGCACTGATCTTGAGAGGCCCAGCTCCTCAAAACCACACACGGAAGTGAGATAAAAGAGCAGCTTTTTGTTAGCAGCTGCGAACTGCTATTTCCCAGGAATAGGGGGTACAGTGGGACTGGGAAAGGGAAACTTAGACTTGGCCCAGAAGTTGCAAAAGTCAGTGTTTTTCCCAGTCTGTGGGCGAAAGAGTTTGGCCGGGGCGGGCAGTTGGACTGTCTGTGAGGTTTCGGTAAAGGCAGGGCAGAGGGAAACTCAGGTGTTTCGTGTTTTGTGTTGGCCAGGGGGGCCGAGCAGGGGGACGCTTCTCCGTGTGTTGAAGTACTGTGTTATGGCCTGAAGCCGGCAGTGGCGCTCGGGGAAGGAGTTTACACAGTGCTCCTGGGTCTGTGAACTCTAATCCCGGTGCTACTCCTGTCTGTATTTTGTCATCATGGGTTGTACGCTGGCCAAGGAGAAGAAGATCCCTAAGGGATTCCCTCCGGCTTTGGGGGGGGCCGCCCCCTCAGGGGCTGCGGGAGCGATGTCGCCCGTAGCGGCTTCAGGCGCGGTCGCTAGCGGGGAGGCGGCGGCCCCCTCAGGAGCTGCAGGGTCGGTTCTGGCTGGAGCCGCCCCAGGGGTGGTGCTGACTGCCGGCGCGGTTGCTACGGCAACGGGGGCTGCCGCCCGCACAGGCGTAGTTGCGGGCGTGGACGGCTTCGTCCCCGCAGGGGCCGACACGGCCCCGGGAAGAGGGGTGGAGCCGCCCTCTGCGGCCGGAGCTGTCCCCATGGTGATGGGAGGCACCGGCGTAGACCTTAGAACTGCGGGAGGAGGAGCAGGGGCGGTGCCTGCAGCCGGGATCACCGCCCCGGCCGACACGGGGCCCTCCGGCTCCGTCATTGTGGGCGGAGCTGGAGCCGCCCCCTTTCCCCCAGCATCGCTGCGCCGCCCAGTTATGTAGGATTTCCCACTGTGGAAGGGGGGAAGCAGGAACTGGAGGCATTTCCAGCTTCTGCCCCATATCATCAGGGAACGAGCACTCCAAGAAAGAGCAAATCAATCCCGGCCTTCGACAGGAAGCAAAGGCAGGGTCTTCCCCCCTTTGACCCCTCGAGTGTGAAAGTCGAAACTCGAGACAGTGATTTTACTGACACAGATACAGAAGCCTCTGATGGCAAATTAGATAGTAGCACGGAGGAGGAAAAACCTCCTGTAGTAAAACCAAAAGCAAAGGGGAGGAGAGTCTGTGAAGCCCTAGCAGATTCCAGCCCAGTGGCTAGAAGAACGAGGACAAAGAAGGAAAAACCTGTGGTAGAGGCTCCCTTAATACAGGCTATGGGTAACCAAGGCCCAGTGTTAATAAAGGCTCCTTTTTCTCTGGTTGAATTGCAGCAGTGGAAAGCTTTTGTCGGAGCATATAGAGATAACCCAGATAAAGTGGCTAATTATATGGAAAGAGCAATTAGAACACAAAATCCAGATTGGTGTGACTTAGAAGAGATGATGGATACATTACTTGACTCCACAGAGAAGGAAATGGTTAAGCAAGCTGCTCAGTCTAGAACTGAGCTACTAATAACAGGTGGAGTACTCACAGGGAAACTTAAGGATACTTTCCCCCTAGAGGACCCGAAGTGGGACCCTAATTTACCAGAGAAAAAAGAAGCATTGAAACGCTATCAGGACTGGGTAGTGTATGGTTTCAGGCATGGGATTCCAAAGGCAGTGAACTGGTCAAAGGTGGATGAAGTAAAACAAGATAGAAATGAGTCCCCAACAGACTTTCTGAATAGGCTAAAAGAGGTTATACGAAAATATACAGACATAGACACGGAGTCAGGTTTCGGGGAAAAGTACTTGGTCTATTTGTTCATATACCAGTCTGCGGATGATATAAGGAAAAAGCTGCAGGAGGTAGGGGGCAGGAAAGATATTGGTGTATTATTGGATATTGCTTGGACAGTGTATCGCAATAGAGATCAGAAAGGCAGGGCAAGGGTGCTGAAGCTAGAGGAAGATACCTGCCATGTACTCCACAGAAGCAGTAACTGTCAGGAACGCCGCAAACATAATGCCCACCACAAGTATGATTTGGCAAACGATCGATGTTTCTTCTGTAAAAAGAAGGGACATTGGAAAAGGGATTGTCCAGACTTGAAAAGAAGCAGAAATCCAGTCCCTCAACTGTCTGTGAACCGGGATGCATGAAGGGGACTGGAGGATTCTTCCCCAGCAGAACCTCTGGTTATAGCTAAGTTGGGGGAAGAAGAAGTTGAATTCTTGGTTGATACAGGCGCAGCATATTCTGTGTTAAATACCTTAGAAGGGAAATTGAGTCGTGATACTATAAACTGTGGTTGGTGCTACAGGGGTAAGTGAAACCAGGCCTTTCTTTACACCTTTGAGATTTAAATTAGGTAAACACTGGGTAACTCATCAATTCCTCTATATGCCAAACTCTCCCAAGCCTTTATTGGCTAGAGACTTATTCGAGAAATTAGAAGCTGAAATTAAATTTTGCAAGGGGGGGAAATAAAAGTCATAATTCCTGACACTAAATATATCAAGGCAGCTACCTTCTTCATACAGGAGAACCACAGAGAGATCCTCACAGATGGATGAGAATGAATGAGAATGCTGTCATCCCTATAGTATGGGCTAGCGAGTGTCCTGGGAGATCCAAACAAGCAGAGCCTGTAAGCATCACACTCAAACCAGGAGCAACACCGGTAAGACAAAAACAATACCCCTTGAAGCTAGAAAGCTGTAAAGGGTTAGCACCCATAATTGAAAATTTCTCAGATTTGGGTTATTGGTAGAACATGAGTCCAAATTCAACACCCCTATCCTACCGGTAAAGAAGGCTGATGGCAAGAGCTATCAATTGGTCCAAGATCTGAGGGCAATCAACAAAATAACCAAGGACATATACCCAGTAGTAGCCAACCCCTATACCTTATTGACCACATTAACAGATGATTTAGGGTGATTTACTGTGCTTGATCTCAAGGATGCCTTCTTCTGCATTCTCGTACATAAGGATAGTCAAGAGCTTTTTGCTTTTGAATGGGAAAATCCCGAGACAGGGAGAAGAACTCAACTCCCCTGGGCAGTTCTACTGCAGGGCTACAAGAACAGCCTGGCGATATTTGGAAACCAACTGGCAAAAGAACTGGAGGACCGGTGAAGGTAGCAACCAGAAGGAGTTGTCCTGCAGTATGTAGATGACATACTAATTGCTGCCAAAAGTCAAGACAAATACATTGAGCTCACTGTAAGTCTTTTAAACTTTTTGGGACTAAGTGGGTATAGGGTCTTGAAAGAGAAAGCACAGATTGCAAAGGAGATAGTCATCTATCTGGGGCTTGAAATGTACCATGGACATCGACAGCTCAGCACAGACTGGAAAGAAGCCATTTGTAGTCTCCCAGAGCCCCACACCGTATGAGAAATGCAGGCATTCCTAGGAATGATAGGATGGTGTCACCTGTGGAAAGTTAACTATGGGCTACTAGTCAAACCCCTATATGGAACACTGAAAGCAGCCAAGGAAGGAGTTGTAACATGGACAGATGAGACCAGAGCCGCATTTAAACAGCTGAAGCAATCTTTAATGTCAACTCCAGCATTGAGACTACCAGACCTAACTAAGCCTTTTGAACTGTTTACATATAAGCAACTAAATGTTGCTCTGGGGGTATTATCACAGACCCTGGGAAACCAGCAAAGGACTGTGGCCTATTTCTCCAAACATCTAGACAGTTAGCCAAGAATGGCCGGGGTGTCTGAGAGATGTAGCAGCAACTGCAATCCTGATCCAGGAGGCCTGAAAACCCACCCTTGAGCAGCGCATTGTCGTGTATGTACCCCATGCAGTCCAAGCTGCACTTGAGCAGAAGGGGGGCCACTGGCTGTCCCCTAGCAGGATGCTTAAATACCAAGCTGTGTTGTTGGAACATGATCATGTTACCGTGAAAACAACATCTATTGTAAATCCTGCTATGTTTCTGTCCTCAACATTGACTGACAGTGTGCCTGAGCATGACTGTTTGCAGACCATTGAGGAGGCCTATTCCAGGAGACAAGACCTGAAGGACGTGCCTCTGGAAAACCTGGACTGGGAACTGTACACGAACGGAAGCAGCTTCATGCGGGATGGTAAGAGAATGACAGGATATGCAGTGACAACCAAGGATGAAGTAATTGAGATGAAGGCCTTGCCAGCAGATGTGTCATCCCAAAAAGCAGAGCTAATTGCACTGACAAGAGCTCTAGAACTGAGCGAAGGAAAGAAGTTAAATATCTGGACTGATTCTAAGTACGCATTCAGTGTTGTACGTGCCCGTGGAGCCATCTGGAAAGAGAGAGGGCTACTAACAGTGGGATCAAACATGCTGACCAAATCCATGCACTCCTGCAGAGTATTTGGAAACCAGAGGATGTGTCTATCATGCATTGCAGATCTCATCAAAAGGGGAAAACAACTCTCGAATTGGGAAATCATTTTGCTGACCAGGCGGCAAAAGGGGCTGCAGAAAAAGGTATCCTAGCAGTAATACCACAGAAAGAAATTGTTCTGTCAGGGTTCACCCCAAAATATGATGAGAAAGACCACCAGTTAGTTAAGTCCCTTAATGCTGAAATCAAAGAAAGTGGATAGGCTGTTACACCTACAGGACAGGTTGTGATCACACCCCAACTTCTTAGGGAGATAGCTCTACGGGAACATGAGGCTACCCACTGGGGACCAGAAATCTTCTAAAACATTTGAAGAAGATAGTAATAGGGACAGGTATGACCGAAGTTGTGCAATCCATTGTAAGTAAATGTGAAATCTGCAGGCAAAACAATTCTGATACAACTAAGAGAGTGGTGCTGGGGGTAACAAAGGCCAGGGACCTTCCAGGAGATTATTGGCAAATAGATTTTGCTGAGTTACCACTCAGGGAGGGATACAAGTACATACTGGTTGACACCTTCAGTGGATGGCCTGAAGCTTGCCCCTGGTTCACTAACACAGCAAGGAAGTGGAAAAAACTTTGCTCAACCATATAATTCCAAGGTTTGGGGTTCCTCTAGGAATGTCATCAGATAGAGGGACACATTTCATTGCAACAGTAGTGAAGGAGGTTTGTCGTGTCCTGGAAATTGTCTGGGGCCTGCATACTCCCTACAGACCTGAGGCAAGCGGCAAAGTAGAACATATAAATGGTACTCTTAAAATGCAAATTGGTAAAATTTGTCAGGAAACATTCATGTCATGGGTTCAGGCTTTGCCTCTAGCTCTGCTGAGTATTCACATACAACCAAAACGGAGAGATAACCTAAGTCCTTATGAAATATTATGTGGGAGACCATACCAAGCTCTGCATATTCCAGGGGACATTCACATGAGGGGAAAAGTTGATCTACAAAAGTATTTAATGACTGTAGGCTATACTTTACAGAAACTCCATAGATTTATTGAGTTATCCAGACCTATAGGACTGGACACCCCTTCTCATCAGTTCCAGCCTGGAGACTGGGTCTACGTTAAATGATGGGACAGTGACCCACTACAAGCCAAGTGGAGAGGACCATTCCAAGTCCTGCTGACTTCCCTCACTGCCATCAAAGTTGCTGGCAAAGGACCCTGGTTTCATTACTCCAGAGTAAAGAAAGCTTCAGTTCCTGGAACAACTAGCAAATCAGAGCCTGACACAGATGAAGAGGATGCACTAATAAAGTAAGAGAAGTAGTAAAAAGTTTACTTAACCACATAATCCCAAGATTTGGGGTTCCTTTAGGAATGTCATCAGACAGAGGATCACATTTTATTGCAGTGGTAGTGGGAGAGGTCAGTCAAGCTGTGGGAATCACTTGGGTTTTGCACAGTCCCTATAGGCCTCAGGCAAGTTGTAAGGTCAAACACATGAATTATACTCTCAAAACACAGATAAGCAAAATTTACCAAGAAACTTCCATGATGTGGGTTCAAGCCTTGCCCACAGCTCTACTGAGGATCTGCATACAGCCAAGATGCAGGGGTGATATAAGTCCTTATGAGATATTATACAGTAGGCCATACCAAACTCCACATATTCCAGGAGAAATTCACATGAGGGGGAAAATTGATTTGCAAAATTATTTAATGGCTTTATGATCTACTTTGCAGAAGCTACAGATATATGTCGTGACATCCAGACCAATAGGATTGGACGCTCCTGCCCATCCATTCCAGCCTTGGGACTGAGCCTATGTTACATGGCGGGACAGCTATCCTTTGCAAGCCAAGTGAAGAGATCCGTTTCAAGTTCTGCTGTCCACCCTCACCGCAGCCTTGGTTGGTGGCAAAGGATAGTGGATTCACTACTCCATAATTAAGAAGGCCTCTGCTCCCTGGACAGTAGAACAAAAGCAGATAAGATAAAAAGAAATGTCGTTTAAACCACTCTTTTTATGTGTACTTTTTATGTGTACTTTTTATGTGTACTGCTGGGATCCATGAACCAAGTTTGGGACCAGAATTTACATTTGACCCTAGTTCAGAATGTTTCTAGTATTTTTCATAAAAATGACTGTTGGATTTGTACTCAAATTCCAACAACTGGTAAGAAAAGACCTTTGACTGAAACAAACTTCAATGAGGTCCACAAACTCCAGGACCATACGACACACATGACACACACAGGCTCAGGAACTCTCACATCTGAATGGTGTGGACAGATCAAGAGAACCTACCTACCTATAGCCCTAAGGAGCTTAATCCTTAACCATGAAAACTACATGGTTCCCTGCATAGTTGTTAATGCCATGGGATAGGTCATTCTTCCTTCATATTGCCATTAAATTAAGTCCAGAGTGAAACTAACATCAGAACTTATAAAGGGATTGGCACAAATACCCTGGAGAATGACCCCCACACACAGAGTTCAGGATGCTACTGGATATGCAAAAATGAAGCGTGAAAAGTTTTACCCTTTAATAAGGATGGGGCCTGTGTTCTTAGAGCCTTAGTTCGAAACATAACGATATTCCATCGAATTAATTAACAAGGTGGGTGGGTAAGAACTTACGTAAAAAGAATAAAAAGATCCAATAATGCCCCTGTTGATCATCCCATGGCCTTTCACAGTTTTGTTAGAGCTCTTATTCCTTCTTCATAAGTAAGTGAATGAGAAGAAAGGAATTGTCAACATTTCAGCCACTACTGAACACACTGAGAATCGAACTTGAGATGCATTCACTGCCTTACAAGACATCGTTTGTCTAGTGTAGTTCTGAAGAACAAAATGGCTCTCTTATGTACTGCTGTTAACACCAGTTGCTGTACTTATGTACATCAAAGCGAAAGAATTGCCACAGATCTTGCAGAAATTTTGAAACAAACTCAAACCCTACGCCAGGTAGCCCTTGATTATACCTCTTTAGGTTTTGAAAACATTTGTCACAAACTCACTTCATGGTTACCGAATTGGACCTGGATAAAACAGCTTTTTGTGATAATTATACTTATCATTTGTGGGTTTATATTGGCTTGCTTTATGATTCAATGTTGTCGTTCGTCTTTATGGTTCAATGTTAAATATAGGTAGTAGAAAGTTAACAGGATGAAGTCCTTTAAAGCCTCTAAAAGGGGGGACTTGCAACTATAAAGAATAATGTAGCTCATTAGTGACTATAATTTACTAATGTAACCTAAACTATGTAGTTTATCATTCTTTGTTAAGGGTCTCAACAGGCAGGAATTTTAATGAGGTAGAAGGTTCCTCTACTGTGAAGCAGGGACACAAAACTAGCAAACTAGTCAAAGCTGGTCATAGACCTTGACACCATTCCAGAAGATGTGATGCTGTGCCAAAAGCAAGGGATCAAGAAAAAGACAAACTGAGGAAGACAATGGAGATGACCACCAGGGTTCTTCATGACCACCAACAGAACCTCAGATTCAAATTCAAGGGGCATGTCAAGGGTGGAACAGTGGGTGGAATGGTTTTGGAAGTAGGAGGAACAAGATAAGGCAATGCCTGAATTTGTAATTAGGTAGATGAATAAAGCTATAGATCCTTTTGTGATTCAACATGCACAATTTGGAACACATTTCCTGTGCATCCACCATGCTATAATAAAGAATGCTTGCTTTCTAGTACTCAAAAGAGTCTTAGAGAGTTCTTTTTCTGGCTTTTCTGGCGTCACTGCTAGGAAAAGTGTGATAGGGTGTGTCACCACTCTTGTGGTTTAAACCCAGCTGGAAATTAAGTTCCAAGCAACTATTCCCTTCTCCCCATCCCCTCCAGTGATAAAGGGACAAAAAGGCAGAGATTATGAGTTGAGATAAAAATTTATTGGAAAAAGAGCAATGAGATATTGAAAACAAACAGTAACAGCAACAATACTAATAACAATACTGTATAAAAGGGGGTGATTACATGCAAAAATGCTTACAGAAATCTGACTAACCTGATGTTACTAGAGCCTGGTTCCACACAGCTTCCCAAGACAAAGGAGGAAATGGCAGATGCTACCGCAGCCTTGCCTCTTCCTCCTGTTCTGAAGGCCCTACTTCCTTGTCATTCCTCACTAAGCAAGCTAATTTGGTCTTGGATTTCTTCTTCTGTATAGGTGCAACTGTAACTTGCACGAGTTCTTCCTCTGGTTCACCTACAGTTTGTGTGGCCACGGTGCCTGTTGGTTTGCTTTCCTTCCCCATCTACCTGGAGGTGCTGTCTAGTAACAAGCAGTGCCCAATAAATATTAGCCAGAGATTGGCACGTTGCATAACTTCACACCTCTTCGGAACTGCCACAGCATTTTTCCTTCACATGTTCTATCACATCAACAGGGTTCTGTAATTGTTCAGGGATATGTTCAAACACACTGCTGCCAGGCATAATGCAGCTTTCTAAGACAAAAGGAGTGGGAACCGTTAGACACACCATGACTGCTTTTACGAACCCTATTCAACCTGTTTGAAACTCAAATAGTACATGGAGAGTGACTGTTAATTATGGAGACTTGGTACAGTCATCCTCCAACTTGCAGTTACAGTACCAGATGTGGTTACCCTCATGGAGAGACTCAGAAAAAATTTACATCCCTGGAAGGTGGCATTGAATCTTGTTAATGCTTTCTTTTCACTGGCCATTGCTTCAGAATGTCAGGACCAGTTTGCCTTTACCTGGCAACAAAAGCATCATACCTTTGAGGCATTGCCTCAGAGATTTAAAAGCAGTGTCTACATTTGACACCAAATGGTGGCTGCTGATGTTGTGCCCACCAGTTGTGGTCAGGTACTAGCGCTGTGTACCATTATACTGATGATCTACTGATTATGTCGGAGTCACAATGAAAAATTGAGGCAGCTGCTGAATCTCTACAGGCCCCCTTACAGGACCGAGGCTGGGTGATTAATTCAAAGAAGATAGAGGGCTCTAGTAATACTGTACATTTTCTGGGAGTAGTTTGGCATGGGCAGCTCAAGGAAATACCAGCCACAGTGAAGCAACTGCACACTTTCCTGGGGTTTTCAGCATACTGGAGAACCTTCGTTCCATACCTGGCGGTACTACTGCACTCTCTGCAGGAACTGACTAGGAAGAAAATTGTTTGGCAATGGGTCAAGCAATAACAAGAAGCCTTTGATGCCTGCAAGAATGTTTTGATTAAGTATGCCCAATTATACATAGCTGTGTTTAAGGGTATTACAAAGACCCCAGAGGAAAATGAAGCGGGCTCAGTAGGTTTTGACTGCCTGGCAAGTTGCCTACATTGTTCCCCTGCCCCCGTCAAGGAGATGGCAATATTTATTCACTGCTGTGGATACAGTGTCAGGATTACTCTTCGCTAAATCCTTTGTTAATATCACATTCTCAAGTTCTTATATTTCAGGTGTCTTCAACAAATGCCCAGGCCTTTTCTATGGGGGGCAGCATTGGAATTCTGTTATTGGTGTCATGAACCACCCATCAAATTGAAATTCAGTCTGAAAAAGCGCAAACCATACCTCTTCAATCTGTATTGGCAATCACCCCATCTCAAGGTGCCAGGTTAGGAGTAATTTTAGCTGAAGGAGCTGGGGCAACAGCATATATATTACTGGAAGGAGATGACATGCCTATTTTTCTTCCTTGTCACAGGCTGGCTCGTCATGCTTTGTAGACTTGCACAACATGCACACATTCTGGATGCATTTTTGCAGGATTACTACGTAAATGCTTGTGTGTGGTAACTGTTTCCTTTTTCTTCTCCACATAGCAGATATAGAGCACCTGTGCTATGCCTTCACTAGAGGTTTAAATTAGACATCAAAGCACTTGTTTCCTGGAATGTAGATGTAACTGCAGCTACTGCAGCTGGGAATTTCCCAACTGCAGCTGGGAATTTTTCCAGTCCAATTGCTGATGTGCTACCTCCTGTATCACCACCACACGCACTGTTCTGATTTTGACGGCATGCGTTGCTTCAACATGACTGCTGAATCAGTTACATTGAGAGGAACATTTGACATTGACAGGACCTGATGATGACTAAGGCACCTATCAGTGGTGTCTTGCTAGCTGAGTGGTTTAATGCCTTCACACGGGGACTGGAGCATTTACCTTAAAGCGTTATATGCTTATTCTTTTTTCCTATATTCTCCTTTAAGTGCCTCTTCAAGTTACCCTGTCCTATACTTCTGGCCCCAGCAGGAATGGTCTCTTGAATGAGGGGGTGGAATGTTGGGAGGAAAGGGTTCTATCTTAACATTTCTTTAATACCTTAGCTGTGGTTTGGTCATCTGGGTTTAGCTGCATGCACATCACTTTTAAACACTTACTAACATAATCAGTAACTATTAATATCTGTAAGAAAGTTCAACTGCATGTGGATCAAGGAATGTAGTGATGCTGATTGGAAGATCATTGTGCATTGAGGAGACAGTGATCCACATATCAGTGAACTGGGCAGGGCAGACTCATCCCAGTGATTAAAACAAAAGAACCTGCAGGAAGATACTACTCAGTACTGGCGATTACATCTTTACACTGCTAGCTCTAACAAACAGTATTTAATTGTTATTTTACAGACTCTGTGTGCCTTCTTACTGTAGTCGTAATAGATCAGCAACTCCTGGTGCAAAACAGTTCCACACAGTTCCACTTTTTCAATAGATGATTTGATGAATTAACATTCATCCCTGAAGTCTGCACTTTAAGATGCTAGGATCTGTTGCTCCCTAGTTATGGTCTCTGTGGATATTTTGGGTACCTGATATTTTGTTTCCCTAAAGATGGGAACATTGCCATCTCCTGACTTGACAGAGGCTAAAAAGCCGGTAGTCACAATTCTTTCTCAGCTGCCTTTGTGTCCATTTTTGAACAGTCACCTCTTGTAATGTGTAAGGACCAATATGAAGTAATTCCTTCACATAATATTATGAGAGAGTATCCCAGCACAGATGTCCAGTTGTATTGGGTTTACATGGCAAGGATTTGGTAGTGTGTGTATGGGGAGGTGCTGCAGGGCTGGCTTCTGTGAGAAGATGCCAGAAGCTTCCACCATGTTGGACAGAGCTGGCTTCAAGCCGGACACACCACAGGCCAAGACTGAGCTCGTCAGTGATGTTGGTAGCACCTGGTATCTGATAACATATTTCATAAAGGGTAAAATATTAAGGAAGAGTGAGAAAATGTGAGAGAAATAGCTATGCACAGACACCAAAGTGACAACACCCAGTGAAGTAGAGGGAGAAGGTGCTCCAGGCACCTGACCAGAGATTTCCCTGTTCCTGAAAGATGCACCCCTTGTAAGGGACCTGCGTGTGAGCAGTTCATGAAGGACTGCACAACATGGGAAAGACCCATGTTGGAGAAGTATATGAAAGACTGTCTTCTGTGGATGAGACCCCACGCTGGAGCTGGGCAAGACCGTGAGGAGGAAGGAGTATCAGATACAAAGTGTTATGAACTGAACACAACCCCCATTCCCCCATATCCCTGCGCTGTTCATGAGGAGGAGAAAGAAGAGTTGGGAGCCTAGGAAGAAGGGAGGGATAGGGGGGAAAGTGTTTTTAGGTTTGTTCTTCTTTTGCAGTATCCTGCTTTATTTTATTGGCAATAAATTAAAACAATTTCCCCAAGCACAGTCTGTTTTGCCCATGACAGTAATCATTAAATGATTTCCATGTTTTTATCTCAACTTACGACCTTTTCATTGTATTTTCCTCTCCCTGTACTGTTGAGCAGGTGGAGTGACAGAGTAGCTTACTGGGTACCTGGTGTCCAGCCAAGATGAATCCACCACACCTGTCCTAGCTGTCAGGCTGTTACTTGTCCTTTTCCACTGAGAAGCAGCCCCCTCCTGGGATGCTGCAATTGGCACCTGTGCATCATAGTGTCCTCATCTGACTGAAGAGAAACAATTGATAACAACACTATCTTGTCACAAATGGGTCTTAAGCAGGCAGAGGAGACTAATTTGTTTCCCTTCCCTTCCAGCTGTAGCAGGAAAGAAGCCTAAATGAAGTTCCTTTTGGATATGTGGAGATAGGAAAAGGGTGTACCTAACAAGAAAAGGTATGGGGGGGTGTGTGAGGCCTGAGTGTATTCAACCATATCTCCATACATTTTTATAACTAATCTTTCATTCTGAGTATAAAACAGGTATTTTTCAAGGTGATAGATGTGATGACTTACACTTTTCCATGCATGGCATTTCACATTCATTTCTGAAATCAAATGAGTTACACCACTAAAAACTGAACTGCACCTCAGCAGTCCTCAGTACCTGGCCCTCTGACCAGAGATCTCCTAGAGCCTGTCACAGTGATTTCCATTACAGAAATCAACACATGTTTCTCTCCTGACCGAACAGCTGCAGCTTCTAAAGCTTCTTATTATTCAGGGGTAGAGGGTGACTGAGGTGCAGCCTGTGAACAGCAGTGGTTTCTAGGACCTGAAGAGCTGACAACTAGCAATATCCCAGGGAGAAACTGCAACACTGATGATACTCAGACAGGAGACAATGACAAAAAAAAAAAGGTAAGGATTTTCTGGAAACAAGGAACAAGGGCAGAGTACTGCATGGGCTGAATGAAAGAAATCTTTCACCCAAATTGTGCTAGCAAGCTTGCAGGCAAGAGACAGGTTTGAGAGAGAAAGTAGAAGAGTT